CGCATGTCCAGAGAAAAACTTCTATGAAATGATTTACTGACTGACAAAAATGTTTACCAGAATCAGAATGAGACTCTGTATTGCACTAATTAGTCAGGTCTAAACCAAAAGACAAGATCACGCTTGAAGGTCATTGACTAACACTGTCCAAATGGAAACTTCTACATACATAGAGATAGTGTCATAAAAATGTTAAAGATTGTGATGCATTGTTGATTGAAAAATTCACATCCCCTTCCTAATGTCAAAACCACGTGTTTAAGTACTTAGCATGAATCAGCACATTAAAACGTAATGTGAGTATTGATCGTTTAGTCAAAAAGAGAAATATTAAACTGTTAAAACACTTTTTGTGACTTTGATCGATATAATTATTGTATCTAAAATAAATTTCTTGCCATTATGCTTTTTGTATTATCCTTTTTTAAGAACAAAGATAAGCACGTCATGTTATAAAAAATCGTCATTTTAACAATTTTCTCCAATGATGTAAACAAACTAGTCATTTTTTGCAAACTCAACATTTTTATTTTCTTTTTTATAAATGATTTCCAAAAACTTGTTGCAATTAAATATCATGTATATGTTGAAAACTTGTTTCTGATTGGACAAGAAAGACGTATTTTAACAAACATACGCTATATATCTGTTTTAAATATTTATTCTTATACTCCTCAAGGTTAAAGCAGCAGGCCTCCAGAAGATAACAAAAATGTACCGTCTTGATAATATTTCAAAATCCTTCCTCAAAAGCATTATTTAGTTGAAAGAAATCAAAATGACACTTCAAAATGTTCATAATATTATGTCAACAATTTTTCTCTGAAAACAATCTGTATTACTTTTTTAACTTTTCGTTCATTTGAAAATGACTTCTTTTATTATACCACGGAATATTTTAATCCAGTTCTTTTCCTAATACCACGTGACTGACTATACAGATCAATTTTGCGACCTGTGATCCAGAACGCAAGATGGAAACGAATAAACTGATTGGTTTTGATATTTGTAGAACATATGGTACATTTGTGGCAATAAAATTAAAGTCAATTAATTATATAATAAATATGATGACAAATAAATCGATTTAAACTTTAGCTTGAAATATAATTAGGGCCTACTCATTGACGAAAATTGATATACGACCCTGGGCGTACCGGATACCAGGATTTTTTTTCGAACCACTTTAATGGCACGTGACCATGTTGAATGAATTATCCTCTCCTTTAAATGTTGAACATAATATTAACCAACTTGAAGAATAAAACAAATTTTCTCAAAGTCCAATTGATGAAATACGTAAATCTTGTGATAAGACTATAAATACGCAGGGTAAATCATTTATTGAAATGTGTAAAGTGTATTCTTTATATATCATGAATGGGCGTTTTGGACAAGACAATAATTATGGTCATTTTACGTATACTTCTACTTTGGGCTGCAGTGTAATTGATTATGCATTATGCTCAGAAGATTTGATAAGTAATATTACAGATTTTAAAATTGATGAAAGGGGCGAATCAAAGCATTTTCCATTAAATATAAAGCTGAAAATGTATAAAAATGAAAGAGAAAAATTTAATGCCCAAGGGAATAACAATTTTATCTTTTACAAAATCCCATATAGTGATAAAAATGTTTATCAAGAGAAACTGAGTGAAGTATTCACAAAAGATGTAATGTTGAATTTTTGTAAATCCATTGAGGACACTCAAGTTGGGATCGATAATATTGTATCTAATTTTAGTACAGGTCTATTGGTGAGCATTTTCAAACAAAGACAAGTTTTAAGCTTCCTTCATCACCAAAATGGTTCGATTTAGATGGTAAGATTTTAAAAAATCAAAAATATAAACTGTTAAGACAATATAGGAATTGTAGGTCTGACATAAATTTGCAAAGATATCTTTTAAAACGAAATGAGTCTAAAAACAAGTGTAATTTGAAGATGCAAGAATACAATAAACAAAACCTTGATGACCTGACAGCAAAAGTTAACGATCCTAAGTCATTTTGGTCAAAACTTAAATCTATGACTGGCAAGAAAAGTAGGACAGTGAACAATATTTCTACCCAGGAATGGCTTGAACATTTTACAGGTCTGCTAAACCCTTATGAATGTGATGAAAATACTGGTGAAAATTTAGAAATGATAAATGAAGAAATAGATAATGAAGTTGATCAATACATTTTTAATTCTGAGATTACTGAAGATGAAGTAAGAATGGCAGTTAAGCATATTAAAACCAGGTCCTGATAATCTAATCCCAGAGTTTTTCATTTACGGTATAGATAGCTTTATACATATAATTGTTAAATTGTTTAATCGACTATTTGCTACAGGCGAGTATCCAGAATCCTGGTGTGAATCTATTATAACAACACTTCACAAAAAAGGGGATATAAACAATGTGGACAACTATAGTGGTATAAGTTTACAAAACGTTTTAGGTAAAATATATTGTGGGATTTTAGTGGCTCGTTTGAATTTTTTTGCACAAATATATAGTAAAATTTCTGCAAACCAGAGTGGCTTTAAAGCAGGATACTCAACTGTGGATAATGCATTTATTTTAAAATCTTTAACCGATAGACTAGTGAAAAATAAAAAACAAAAGATATTTGTTGCATTCATTGATTTTCATAAATGTTTTGATACCATAAACAGACAAATTCTTTGCAATGTACTTAGAAATGGGGGTGTCAGTGGAAAATTGTATATAGCTTTTCAAAGTATGTATAGAACCGTTTAAGCATGTATTAGATGTAATAATGAAAGAAGTGATTACATATTAAGTTCAGCAGGATTAAAACAAGGCTGTTTGGCGAGCCCGATTATTTTCTCTTTCTATATAGATGAATTACAACATATTTTAGATGATAGTGGCATAAGAGGAATTCAATTACACCCGTCTGAGACACAACTTTTATCTTTAATGTTTGCAGATGATATTGCTCTCCTTTCTGAAACAGTTTCTGATTTACAAAAACAGTTAGATACTTTGTCATTTTTTTTGCGATACATATAAACTTAAAGTAAATGAAAGTAAAACAAAATTAGTTGTTTTTAAAAATGGTGGTACATTATGTAAAATTGAAGTTGGACTTATAAAAACAAGCAGATTGAAGTTGTTAATGCTTTTAGTTACGTTGGTTTAACATTTACGACACAACTTTCTATGAAAAGAATGGTACACGAGTTATGTATAAAGGGTAAGAGGGTTTTTATATCAATTTTAAAATCCTTGTATGATTGTGGCCAATTAAATAAGAAAGTATTTTTTAAACTGTTTGATTCTAAATATATCCTCGGTTACTTTATGGGGCTGAAATTTTGGGCATGGGTAAATTTGAAGAGCTAGAACGAGTACAATATTATGCATGCATGCAAACGCTTTATATGTTGTAAACAAAATGCATCCAATGTAGCTGTATTTGGTTAAAAATTATTAAAATGCCAAACGATAGATTAGTTAAAAAGTGTTACTTTATGATGTTTTATGATGATATACAGGGACATGACAATTGGGTTACATCTTAAAGAAAAATTTTACAAAGTCATGGTTTTGGATATGTATGGGAAAGTCAATCTGTTACATCAGAAAAATACTTTATAGCACAATTTGAAAATAGGTTAAAAGATATATACCTACAAGAGTGGCATTTATCTGTAACCTCTAATGTAAAATTGTCTTTTTTTGGTATGTTTAAGGAAAATTTCTCATATGAATGTTACTTAGATGCTCTAGACATTAGAAAATTTAGATATACTCAAATTTTAGAATAGGGTCACATGATCATGAAATTGAGGTTGGTAGACATAAAAAGATATTGAGGGAAAACAGATTATGCACAAAATGTTCTTAGAATGTAATAGAAGATGAATTTCATTTTTTACTATGTTGTGATTTTTATTCAGAACTTAGAAAATTATATCTACCGATTAAGTACCTAAATGCACCAACCCGAAACAAATTTAATATTTCTATGTCTACAAAAAATGATGATCTTATAAAGGGTACAGCAACATTTTAAAAAAAGGAAGTTAAACAATTAATATGTTTTCGATACAAAATGATAATTAAGAAACTCCCAGAATTTTTTTTATGCTTTACAGTTATTTTCAGTTAAATTTATATAGTATATGTTTAAACATTGTGCACATGCTATAATTTTGTGTAAATTGTTTCTCTGTATATATTTTTTTTGCATGGATCGGAGGCCTTAAAGCGAATAAAGTTTTTGTATTGTATTGTATTATATTGGCTTTTGCATTAGTAACAGAGTAGATTATGCAAAAGAAAGAACCATGATATATTGACGCTTTGTGTCATCATTCTTTCTTGAATTAAGATGTCAGTAATTATTGATTTACTCATAAAACCTAAGTACATCAGTATTTACCGTTTACTTGAAATTTGATTTAATTTATTTTTCATTTAAGCAAAAGGAGGCCAGTGTCTGTAAACCAAAACTTGTTGTATCTCTAGATGTCGGGAGCACCTACTCGGGATACGCCTGGCAATGGAAAAAGGATAATGATAATGATAGTTGCAAAGACACAGTGGAAATGAACCTGAATTGGGAGTATGCTCCAATCCAGGCCAGTAAACTTATCTATTTTCTATTGAGTGTTTCTTTTATATTTTTGCAAGCGCAAATATTTTTTTCTTGTCTCTAATAAAGGGATGAAATATACATTAAAATTCAATAGGGTTTTATGAGTCAAAGCAAATTAATGCATCTAATATTTCACGACAAAAATGTGTATATACGAGAACATTACTTTAGTGTTTCATGAGGAGTTTTAATAACTTTGATGCGGAGTTTAGATAAGAGAATTTGAAAATACTGCATAGATATATATGATTGGAGACTACATTCTTGCATATGTATGATTACAATTCATCATTTTAAAATGCTTCTGGTATTGATGTTAAGGTCAACATGATGAGTATTTTTAAAATAATATTACCCCATACCATTGTCCCTATTTCAAATTAGTCGTCTAAATTTATAATTGATAATTTTCTTTTACAAATTTAGAATACTTGTCTTCTCATTAAAATTTACTTTAAATTTCATATTGAGGCGACACTCAATTTGATATTATGTCAACTTGCATCCGATAAAACACTATAGAGCTATTTCTATCAGACATCAACATAAAAAGTACGTGCAATTTCAATTTATTTAGATTATAAAAACAAAGACTTGCATTTTGATTGAGAAAAATGCTGATTGTCCTTCAAAATGTGTTGCCATTGGATATGAAGCCGAAAAGAAGTTTACTGACAGAATGGCTGATATGGACGACTCTTGGTATTTCTTCAAGGAATTCAAACTACTTTTATATGGAGAGGTAAGAATATGTGCCTTAAACATAGATCTAGTACATTTCCCTGATATCAATTAATGTTTCAAATAGGGTATGCATCGGTTAATGTTTTCTTTTACTTAGATTTATATGTTGATGTCCAAACCATCTCATTATTCATACGAAAGGTGACGTAACACAGACAGACAAGTTCATTAGGAATAATGAAAAAAGCAAAGTAGAGTAAAACCGACCAATTGAAAAGAAAAAGGCACAAAGGACTTCTTAAAATGTAAAATAATATTTTGATTGTTATATTCAACCAATCAAAGTATAGCTACAAATGATTTTAATCAATTTACTTAATACTTCAAAACATCACAACGGCTTTTATGCTAACATCGTGAATGTGTTTTTATCTAAACACAATGAAAATATTTCAGAAATCAAATTCTATATAAACAAATTTCTTGTATTGCTTTATTCTCATTGTGTTTATAACTTCGATTTAAAAGGTGCTTACAGCTACATGTTTGGAATATTTCCATTACATGTTTTTATATTTAACAGGAATAATAATACTTTACACCTGTATACATTCAACGTTTCAAAATGTTGCATCAGTTCTGAATAACCCTCGCACGTTATATACCAGGATTTACAAAAAAAAAATACAACTAACCCAAGACATAAGACAATTGTCAATAGATTTATGAATTTTGCATACACGGTATAATTCAAGAAAGCTTTCCTCGAATAAAATCGGGAAGTACAGTTTACGTTGAAGTTAAAACAAATGCTACACCAGTGTACGAAAGACCGGTAGGGCCATTTCAACTTCATGAATTCTTGAGTTCATCTTCATGAATTCACAATTTTAACTTTGTTCATGAATTCCCGTTTTCAAAAAACGGAATTCTCACGAATTTACGAATTCACGATTTCAACTTCATGAAATCACGATTTCAACTTGATGAATCCACGATTTCAAGTTCATGAGTTCACGATTTTACGAATTCAACTTCGTGAAGTCACGAATTCAACATCGTGAATCCACGATTTCAAATTCACGAATTCACGATTTCAATTTCATGTATTCACGATCTCAACTTCATATATTCAACTTTGTTAATTTACGATTTCAACTTCATGAAATTACAATTTCCACTTCACGGATTCGCGATTTCAGCTTCATGAATTCACGATTTCATCTTAATGAATTCACGACTTTAACTTCATGAATTCATCTTTGTGAATTCACGATTTCAGCTTCATGAATTAACGATTTCAGCTTTGTGAATTCACGATTTCAACTTCATGAATTAACGAGTTCAACTTCATAAATTCACGATTACAACTTCACGAATGCACGATTTCAACGTCATGAACCTGAACTCGTGAATTCGTGAATAATTTGTGAAGTTGAAATCGTGAATTCGTGAAGTTGAAATCGTGAACTTACAAAGTTGAAATCGTGAAGTTAAAATCGTGAATTCATGAAGTTGAAATCGTGAATTCATGAAGTTGTATTTCAAGAATTGGTGAGGTTGAAATTGTGAATTCGTGAAGTTAAAATCGTGAATTCACAAAGTAGAATTCGTGAAGTTGAATTCGTGAATCCATGAAGTTGAAATCGTCGTGAATTCATGAAGTTGAAATTGTTTATTCGTGAAGTTGAAATCGTGAATTATGTAAGTTGAAATCGGAAATTCATGAATATGAAATCCGGAATTCATGAAGTTGAAATGTCGCAACCGGTCTCACGTCCCAGTAAAACTGATGCAAGAATCCTTTGACGGTTGGCAGAGATAAAGGAATCGGAAAAAATATGAACCAGATCATAGATTTCTGATCTGCAGATATCGGTATTGAGTGCACACCACTTATAGATTTAAAAGGATCAAGCCGTGTTGTATCTACTCCGCCTGTCGTGCATGGAAACATGAACAATGTAGCCATGCCACGTGACTTTTCGGATACGGTACACGCAGATATTTTATCGATTTGGGTATTTTTTTTAATTACTTTGCTGTTACTCAACCGATTTTGATTAGTAAAGACACAAAATACCCGTAATTTTATCAGCTACCCACTGTAAATCAAAGTTTTAAAAACCTCTGAATGGTTTTTAAGAACATCGAGTACAGTTTTGTTTCATAGCTGGGGCCAAGAAAACAGTACACACCCAAATATGACAACAAGCGATTTCTAGCAAGTCGTCCGTTTTTCTTTCACTGTTTCTTATAAAAATGAATGGTAAGTTTTTTCTATTTACTATGTCCAATGTATCTAGTGAATGCAGTGATGTTTTAGCATATTTTCATAAAATTGAAATGGTACGGAACACACTGCAATTTTAAAATATGCGGTACATACACATTTTTTGTCATTGAAATAAATCTGATAAATATATGAAAATTTGCTTTTACTTATAATGTGAGAGTTTTTTCCTCATATTTATTTATTTCATTTAATCCTACGTGAACCCAGATGCCTGATTTGCAAGGTATCATTACATTAAAAGCTTTCTGTTAAAGGATTATTTAAAAATAAAAGAAAATTTTAAAAGAATGTCGTGCACAATTTGATTTTAAAATGTTGCGCAATTAATATTTTGGCTGTAACATGTTAATATTACAAGTAATTGCTGAAGAATTGAAACAATGAAAAAGAACGGACGACTTGCAAGAAATTACTTGTTGTATACATGAGTGCGTACCGTTCCCTCGACCACGACTATGATAAAATTAAACTGTACTCGAATGTTTTTTTAAAAAAACATTCAGGGGTTTTCAAAACTTTGATTTACCATGGGTAGCTGATATAATTAGGGATACTCTGTGCCTTATCTGATAAAAATCGGTTAAGTTACAGCAAAAGTGTTAATAAAAACATACCCGAATCGGTGAATAATCTGCGTGTACCGTACCCGAAAAGTCACGTGGTATGGCCACAATGATGAACCCCTTGCCTAGCACCCAGGCCCTGCTTTCACTAACGTTCTAAACCTGGGATAAATCTCAACGTAAGATTGTCCAAATACTGACTTTCTCACTTGAGAAAAATCTCAAGTTGGCTTCCACTAAACTTTTTGAGAATTTTCTCAACTAAGACTGTTTTTTTCTCAAGACATAAGCGGCTATCTTAAAACGTCAATCTTAGTGTGCATTGTTGATGGTTTTCTATGACTAAAATATGGAGTTTTTCTTTTTGCTACATGTATTTTGATGTAAAATGACGCAACAGGGAAATGTTTTGTATATTTATCAATGTGATAAATGATTACCGGCATTTTTTTCTTGTTTTATTTGAAACAAAACAACAAAAAACAACAACAACATAATACCAAGAAGCTATTGCAAATTTGTGAATATTTGAATTAATATAATTCATCAAGAATAAATGTACATAATTTTTTGGACACAGTTTAAAAAAAAACAAGCAAAATTCAACAGCTTATTTTTAGAATGTTATTGTGACTTCATAATTTTATGATGTCATGAATTAGATCGCATGATTTCACCCACAATAATCAGTCAATATATATCCTAATATATGAAATTGATAGGAACTTTCAGGGCGTACCTTGGCTTATTTTGAATATACGCCAATTACAGTCCCTTGGGTCAAAGTGTCCTATTTGCATGAAGTCTGACGTGAAGACGTGCTTTTATAAAATAATTTGAGAAAATGTTATTTACCATTAGGAAAACAAAATATAGCCAGAAACCTATATTGTAATCAAGATGGTTACATTTTTTTTTTCTTATTTTTCTTTTCCAATATACTTAGACATGAGATCATCGTCGGAAACCACGGTACACATTCCGAATATACTACATTTAATACATACGGTAAAGCCCCTGGGTTACCGAGGATGACATGAGATACAATCAAGGAAAATATTGCTATAAAACGTATTTACCATTAGAAAAACAAAACATAGCCAGATATCTCTATTCTAATACAACATTTTTTGTTTCATTTTTTCTTTATTTCAACATACCTAAACATGAGATATAATCAAGGAACAAGGAAAATATAGCTTTTAAAACGATCTGTATGACCATAAAACGAACACAGCAGATTAAATGTTGAAGTGTAACAATAATCTATAGCATCAAAACCACACCTTAAATTTATTGATACGCGATCACTTAGGTCCATAAACAATTATTATTTTTAGAATTGCATTATGTTAATACTAGAGAATAATTGTTTTTGATATTTTTTTCTCAATTTTACTCTTTAAAATTCATCCGATATATTTTAGTTATTTTGTTACGCAGTTAAAATGAATGCCTTACTAGTCTGTCAGAAATTTAAGTCAAAACCTTTAAAAAAAGAAAAATAGCATATAGGATTTTGTATCGCATACAAATATTTGCACACGAACAGGGAAATTACGGTTTATTTAAAGCAAGAGTGGAAACATATTTTAGTTTTGTAAAAAGTGAGAAAAAAAAGAAGAGCGAACATTCTCTTATATGGCTTTACTTTGTTTTTATTGTAATTTTATCTCTGTTTTGTATGTATATATTGATGAGACTATTATAAAATACATAAAAGATGTCATTGTTTGTAGAAATATGCAATTCATTTCTATAGTCAATATAATATGTTTAAATAGCTATGTATAGTGATATATCTTGTAATTCTACTATTTTAAGGGACTTAAATTTGATAAAAAATGTTATTTACAATAAAGTTGAGTTTGGTTTGTGATGATAGTTGTGGAATATTGTTTGCTGCTAAGATCTGATTTGTATGACCAAAATATTCTACACAATTTGAAATAATACATTGACAAACAACTACAGGATTAAATATGAATAGGCTGACACGTATTTCATTGTACTACAAAAGTTCCAGACAAAACTAAAGTTCAGTAAGGTTTATAAGCATAATAACATTTTGTTTTTTAAGTTTTAAAAATGATTATTCTTAATGAAATACGCATAGGGTAGTATCAATTGAATTTTTATGGTAATTCAAACATAACTTACTTAAAAATTGATTATTTGTATTAGAAATAAAAAAAAAAAAACACAATAAAAAATTTCTCGCTAAAATTTCTTCCCATGTTCCCTTTCTCTTACATGTTTGTGCTTTACTCGCCTTTGATTGTATGAACATATTTTGACAAAGGTTACATCGTAAGCATACTTATGGAACCAATAAACAGCTATGCAACTATAGATCGATCTACATCATTTTTGCACGTCATTTTTTGATTTTTAATTTCTCGAAACTCTATTCATTAAATAGGCCCGTGCGTATTGGTATAACGGTGGGTACGCCACTAACTTTATTTGTAATTTATTTATAAAGATAACCATGCAGAAAGTAAAAATTCCTCTGAGAATAATAATTCAGCTTCACTGAGACATAATCTGAGACAGCCAAACCTTGTCTCAAGATATCCGAGAAAAATCTCAAATCTTAACTTGTTGAGATTTTTCTCAATGTATTTTAGTGAAAGTCAAACTTAGAAAAAATCTCAATTTCAATTTCTGAGTTGAGAAAAGTTCCAGATTTGAGCTAATTTGACTTGATTTTACTTTGATAACGTTAGTGAAAGCCGGGCATGGACTGACATTACAGGAAAGTCTTTCATAGTTGTAGACGTAATTCACATTCAAATGTTATTCATCTGCCGTCATTTGACTGCAGCTAAGCTATCATGATGACCAATGAACACCTGCCGCTTGCATCAGGTGTTGCATTAGCCAACAAAGCAAAGTAAGATTAATTTACGTACACAGTTTTAAAAAGAAACAAACATCGAATTATGATTTCTATATACAATTGAAAGACGCGATGCAGTATGTATACACAATACAATGAATGACGTTCATGACTTCGCAAAATAAACACAATATATCACAGGTGTCATTGTTTCTGGTAGTTTTCTTTGGAGTAATCTATGTCTCTGGACCATGTTACTACGATCATCTTTTATTTATTGAGATGTAGCAAGAAAGAGAATGATCATATTATTGCCCCACTCTCCCCAAAAGTGGTCCTATAGTCGGTCACTCTCCAATTTTCCTGTAATTTAATAGTTATGTCGGAACTTAATGGGCATGGATTAATAATGTAAGGGAAAAGCGATTTACAGTATCTATTAAAGCATGTCATCGTACGTTGTTCAAACAATATTAATATGTACTGTAAAATAATTACATCAATTGAAGTTTTCTTTCTACTGAGCTATTATTTATTATACGAGATTGAGGAGAATAATACTAAGAACAACAAATTACATTGTTATATTATTTTATTGGAAATACGTTTATCAACGTAAACATTTGTATCATATCCAAGTTTGTGTTCAACCCTGAATAAGTAGATCCGATGCAGACGTCAAGCATGTTGGACAATTTTCCTTTTGTTCAATTGACGCCACCAATGTTTTGTTATTAGGAATTATATTATAATTAAGAAGACTTCACAGAAGAGCCGTTCAATTTCCGAATAACGTCAAACATAATAATGTCATTTAAATATAATGAAACGTGTTTCTGGTAAATATGCAAAAATGGAACGACAATAATGAATGAACTAAAAGTACAACTTTTTTGATGCGTTGACAAACAACATATAACATTTACACATTTATTTGACCTTGCGTCATACACATGTTCGGCTTGGATGAACTTTACAACACACATAAGTATTTCAGTAATAATATCAACTACAGATAATTGTGACATGACATAAAATGAAAAAGTTTTCTTTTCAAAAGCATAACTCACATTATTATAATAATCGTTTCAAAACGTTTCAAACAATTGGTGTTTACTTTATGGTAATAAATTGACGTCATTGGACATCAGTTGTAACAAGTAATAATATCGTCAAATTAAGCTTTCGAAACTCTAATTTGATATTTATCTTCATTGAATTAGGTCATTTTACTAAAGGCGGAATGACCATACTTTGTTGTTTAAAAGAATAAACACAATATAATTAAGAAGAGAACATTCATCTTTCTCCACATACGTGTACAATTAAGAAACAGTTGTTATTTTTCAGGATTTTAGAAAAGACATGTTAATAGACGATGTATATGGAAGACATTTACCTCTTTTTGAAGTCATGTCCAAGTTCATCGAAGGATTGAAAAATCACTTCATAGAAAGGAAGGCCAAAAAGGGATTAGACATCAAGGATGTAATATGGATGTTAACAGTCCCAGCAATTTGGTCATTGGAAGGCCGAGACTTTATGCGAAAAGCAGCGGAACATGTAGGTTTTATGTTGAAGTTTTTAATGTATGGTTTGTTACATATAGTTAAGATATTAAAAAGATAAAAGGGTAGAATTTGAAAAGTTACGTAGTTAAACAATGAAAAGTCAAAGATAAATTGATAACGCCTCTTTTAAACGAAATTGGTAAATGCAAACAACCGTCCGAAAACCTTTAGAAATCCTCAAGCAGATTTCAACTTTTAAATACTAGTATGAAAATGACAAAATTTAGAAAGTCTTCCTATATACATGTAATTATTTAGCGATATTTATGAAAAAATCAATGCAATGCTTTCTGCTATTCATGAAAGCCGACGTATGATCCAAAAATGATGTGTGCTTCGTGAGGGAAAAAAAATATGCGGGAACCATAATTTAATTTTAAGAGGGGACCAGATATAATAATGAAAGTTACATACCCGTATGGTGAATATACATATTTATGGACGGAGGTCCATTTTAATTATGCGAAAATGATTCGTTATACAAAAAAATATAATGTAAGTTCAAAATTAAAATATTTAATACAGTTTATGTTTTATACTTCATTTGACCGAACAAGGTATGATTGTCTTAAGACTTGTTAAAGATCCTGAAACACAATTTTTTCATGGTTTTATTTCATAAATATAATGCTTAAATTAAGATTTGTCAATATTGTAAGTTTCAATAAGCATTATTTATAAAAATTACCGAATTTAACATTTCATGTAGATAAAGGGAGGTAATTAGAAATTTAGTTTCTATAAATTCTCAGTCAAATTTTCCAATAAGAAATGAATGCATATAATTCATTGATAAAATATAACGTGCAAAAATATTTGCAAAACACATTTTACGTATTCTTCAATGTTTGAAAAAATTGTTTTATTTGCATAATTATAAACATATATAAGTTTTTGCAAGTGTGGTATACACACAGTAACAATATCAATCACAAAACATACAGGATCTTTAATAATGTTTGGCCCCTTCTATGGAATGAATGTTTCTGGTATGTTTAATGGTAGATCAAAAGGGACATACAAATACAAATGCGCGTAAAGTATAGATATACGCCAAATTGTGATCTCCCCTAAGGGTCGCTTTTAACAGTTGTTATTCGGACAAGTAACACATATTTAACAGTGATCAAATGTCAGTTGAAAACAAAATAAAATGTCTTAACTTGTCTTCATTATACTTGATAAGAGTTTATTTTATTATTATAATAAAAACATGAGGTTTTGGTTTTGGGTCATTTTTCGTTGGATCATTTAGATACCTTCAAATTCTTAATTTAGAACTTCATATTATATCAAGTTTAAAGAATAAGTTCTTTCTACTTTGGTGGCTGATTTGTGCCATTCGTGTTTTCACCCTGCACCCCCGCCATTTAATTTGTTAATTCTCGACTTTTCGCTTGGTGGGGTCACGGGACGAAAACACGCTAATTAGCGGGGGCGCGGGGCGAAGTTTTATTTCATTATTCTACAGTGCTTTCTTAAGGTGTTGATTTAATAGTCAGTCGATATATTTGTGTTATTTCATGAAACATCTGTCTAAGTGCATAAAATTATGATGTTATCAAAACGTCTCGTCAGATCAATATATAATGGCTATCTAAGTTGATAAGATTACAAGAGATTGGACATTCATTAAAATATTTTTGTCTGAAGAAGTTCTTCCATTCATTTTCAGAATCAGTAAAACAATAAGGTTCAGTAGATATATTTATGCCCCTCTAAAAAGTTTGTGGGAGCGAGGACTTACAGTCTTACCCATGTGGGTGTGCTTGTGTGTGTTCGATAAATATTTAAAATAAGTTTAAATATGCTCTTCATGTCCGAGCATGTATGATAGGATTTAAAAATAAATGTGAACACATGACCATAAGTTATCGATATATTGTAAGCAAACCCAAGGCGCCCAATTTTCTGTTAAGATCTCAGGAGGGAAGGGTCACAGGAAGCGATTGAACGTTGTGTATTTGCCTGTAGCTTCAAGTCCCTTTAAGTTCGGTCCTTAACATTTGGATGCTTAATGGAATTTGAGTTTTAACTGGTACATTGTACCCAGGCCTCTAACTCAAACAAGTTGCAGTTTAGAAATAGTAAGGTCCTTTAAGCTACAAAAAATGTGTTGATTTACTTGTTGATTATTTTAGCGCCTCTAAAACGATGCTTAATAATAATTACACCAAATTTAAATAAATATTGAAATGTATTACAAGCACAGTTGATATTGAAGACGAGACGAAACTCGAAAGAAAAATAACATTAAATAGCAAGCTTGTATAATAATCCATATATATTGTGATGTAAAGTGATAAATGTTTGTAAATTTGCTAAATAAAACACAAAAACATTGATTTAAGTCCTTTTTTGGAAAAAAAAGAATTTTCGAAACCTATATATTACTTCGTACAATTCGTATGTATTTCCACTCCGTAAAACGTACAAAATTTTATTCATATCTCATCTTTAATAGATCGGCAAAGTGTATGAATTTAAATCTAATAACGATTTAACTTATTGCGAACATTAGTTATTCGGATTCTCTACAGAACGAACGATAAAAAGATCTTTCCAAAAAAATATTTTTTCTTATATGTTCTTCCTCCCTCCATTCCTAATCTGTGCTCATTTGAACAAGCTAATGAGTCATTGTGTCCGGCTTAATGGCGACGTCTTGTACGTACGTATCTAATGACTTATTTGTCATGTACGTTAACATTTTTTAATTTGGTGCCTAGACTCAAATAAACTCATTAAGGTATTATAATAAAATAATGCCGCAATCGCTGCCGAGTCTTATATGATTTTGAATAAAACGCATTCTTTACTGCGGATTAACACAAACTGTTTTGCAAGTTGTCAAAAAATATAAGTAAATTTAGCTTTACACTACGGAAAACATTTAAATTTGTAGCCTTCTTGCAAAACCTTTTATATACATTTCTTCAAATTGAAAAGAACTGTTTTTTCTGTTTTGTTTGTTTTTTGTTTTGTTTCTTTTTTCGTATAGAAATAATGAACAGTTCAACTGTCTGTTTTCATGTAATGAGGGTATTTTACCGAATTAAAATTAAGTTATGTGTAAAAGTTCCTCGGATGATATAATTTAAAAATTAGCAGTCTAATTCTTTTTCTTAATTATATATTTAATTTTGGTTGTATTATTTAGTGTGGCATCGATGGCAAATTGTTGAAAATTGCTCTTGAACCGGAAGTTGCTGCTGTTTACTGTTTTACCCTACCGCTTGAAGAGAGAAAGACAATGTGGGACTTGGGGCATATTGGCCAGTCTTTTCTCGTAGCAGACCTTGGAGGTAAACATATTTGAGTAAATAACTTTTTTCAATAAAGTAGAACAGCTAAAATTATAAACTCTACACAATTGCTTTATTTATTATTGTTACAGAAACAACATTTTCAATAGACTATAAAAGTCATTTCTTTTAGCTTATTTAATTCAAATGATTCTTTGTTATGTACGAAATAAAGTGAAATAGATTGTGTAACCTTTAGAAACAAGAGCCGGTTGAACCGGATGATGCATCCCGACTAGGCTTTGGACACAGAAGAGTATATCTTTTGTAGTTTCAGAGTTATGTCCCAGCGACATTTTAAAGTGTGATAATTCCAAACTTAGGCAAGGCAGAGTTACTGTTCATTGCATTGCATTTTTACTCAATGAGATCTATATACCGATTTGCACGCATTGTCGGACTTTACAACTATTTCACAGAAATGATCACCATATTGAGAGCAAATTTGGGTCGCTATCTTGAAGGTCAAGGTCACAGCATGACCTTGAAGCAAATCGTGTCCGGCCCATAACTTGGTTATTTGAAGTCGAATTTTACAACTATTTCACAAAAATGATCACCATATTGAGACGACTTGTCGCTCGCAGCATTTGGGTCGCTTTATTGAAGGTCAAGGTCACAGCATGACCTTGAAGCAAAATCGTGTTCGGCCCATAACTTCGTTATTTGAAGTCGAAGTTTACAACTATTTCACAGAAATGATCACCATATTGAGCCGACGTGTCGTGCGCAATATTTGGGTCGCTACCTTGAAGGTCAAGATCACGGCTTGACCTTGAAGCAAATTCATGTCCGGTCCATAACTTTGTTATTTGAATTCGGATTTGATAACTTTTTCACTTAAATGATCACCATATTGAGTCGACGTGTCGCGCGCATCATTTGGGTAGCTACCTTGAAGGTCAGCATAACCTTGAAGCAAACACGTGCCCGGCCCATAACTTCTTTATTTGAAGTCGGATTTTACAACTTTTTCAAAGAAATGATCACCTTATTGAGACGACATGTCGGGCGCAACATTAGGGTCGCTACCTTAAAGGTCAAGGTCATAGCATAACCTTGAAGCAAAATCGTTTCCGGCCCATAACTTCGTTATTTGAAGTTGGATTTAACAACTATTTCACAGAAATGATCACCATATGGAGATCTAATTTGGATCGCTACCTTGAAGGTCAATGTCACAGCATAACCTTGCAGCAAAATCGTGTCAAGCCAATAACTTGGTTATTTGAAGTCGGATTTTACAGCTATTTCACAGAAATGATGAACATATTGAGACGACGTGTCGCGCGCAAGTCGGTAGATAGATCTCATTGAGTAGAAGTGCAGTGCAAAGAACAGTTACTCTGCCTTGCCTAATTTTGGAATTATCACACATTGAAGTTTGTCTGGGACATTACTCTGAAACTACAAAAGATATACTTTTCTGTGTCCAAAACCTAGTCGGGGAGCATCACCCGGTTCAACCGGCTCTTGTTAAAGTTAAATGGCAAATACTGATCGTTTAATTACGATTATAACATGAAAAATTTAACTCATGCATACATTAATTTCATATCAAGAATATTAAAAAAAATAATACACAAACAATGATTAAGGTTAAGTTTTGCTATGGGGTAAAACAACGGAATTTCAAAGTGAATATAGATCTATCTATTAGATTTTCTCTAATGCCAGGGCAAAAAGCTAGTTACTATATCAAATTTTAATATTTAATAAATACCCATACACTGTAAAATTATCTTATACAAATTTAAATGGTCAATTTCTAGATTTTTGTGCGATTTTCTGTCATTTTGAAAATTCGGGCGTTTTTGTGACATACATGGTCTTTTTAAATGATTGTTTTCAAGCTTCAGGACAATAGCAAAATGCATTCTGTCAATACTAATTGATCATTTATCATTATACCATATAATAAATCTTTCGAAGAACCAGTGAAAGATATGATTTTATAAATATTCCTGAATGAACGAAAACCATGAATTTTATTGTGGCTAAGATTCGCAACGGACGATATTAATATAATTTTGATATAACAAACATATTCTTATAATTATGAAAAAAAACCTTTTTCTCAGTAACTCATTTTATAAATAAATAGAGTTGTATATTTAAGCGCCACTGGGCTGTAACATGTTAATTTACAGGTTGCATATGTTATATTTACAAGCGGCACTTGGCAGTGATATCATAAATCACAGGGTGCATATTTTAGAGTTATAACATTACATCAGACTATGTCACTTTTGTTAGGTGTCAAAATATTTATGATCCCGGCATCTGTATTTGGTTATGGATCATCCTAGGGACTTTATTGGTCATGCCTTACTGATTGGATACTCCAGAATGACTACCAACTAGCACAGTCAAAGATGCGTACAATCATAATTCAGTTAAAAACAAATTTCTGTGTACGTCTGTAATAACTTGTTTTTAATGATGAAAAAAATGATAAGCAGAATGTAAATGAAATAAAAATATCAAGTTGAAAATATCACTTTACCAGCTTTGATATAATATGTAGTGCATTCATTTGGCGTGATGTACGATTTTTTGAGAGTGCCTTTTTTGCCGACACAAATATTATACAGTCATATACATTTACAAGAACTGCTATTTTTATGCTTCAACATTTTTTTTAAATTAAATAGATTAATATTATGTATTTCTTTGTCACAGTGCTTCAATCAAAATAATATCTATTTAACCAGTATCTTGCAATAAATTATTATGCAGCCGTTCTTTTTCGAAACTACACAATTCTTACATTTTTGAAACTCAAAATATCTCTTGGATACTGTGTATTAGCAGAGACATAGATACATTATCTACGTCTCTGGTATTATCAAGTTAGTTCCATTTAACTGTCTGGTAAAACACGGTGCGACTATTTTCATTATTAAGAATCAAACAAAAATGGTAACCATGATAAGTTACCAAACCATAAGGTCTAGTATTGAAAAAAATCGTTAACCTTATCATGGTTTACATTTTTATTTATCTTGTTAATGTAATATCTTATTCAATTTCACAACATTTTGGCAAAATAACCATCTGCTCATCTAACAAATGTAAGGATTTAGATCGTTATATCTCTCTGTTAATGTATTTAGTCGTATAGGCAAATCCGTGTCCCCAATGACGTCATCCAAGGGCGACAACTTGAATCCAGTCTTAAATGAAAGGGTCTATATATCTCTATTCCTATAGCTTAATTTAATTTTCATCCATGTGAGTAAAGTGTCTAATTGGACATAATATGTGAAAATTTAACTGCTGCAATATATTCAAATTCCTTTACCGATTCCGCAAATGTTGCTGGCTGTTCTTTTTCACATTGTCTCTATGATATCAATTCAAGATTTAAAGTCTTAATCCATGATTTTTCCATCCATCATTTCTTTAGGTGGAACAGCAGATTTGGCAGCTATTAAAGTTAATGCTGAGGGCACTCTTGACATTATCATTAACGCACAGGGAGCACTTATAGGTGGACAAAACATCAATACTGCTTTTTTCCAAGCCATACATGATAGTTTCGAGGGAGATCAATTTAAGAATGTCTTTCGAGATCCCATTGAGTTATTAGAAATGGAAGATGATTTCGAGCACAAAAAAGTCAACATAGTATCAACAAAAGAACTAAAATGTTCTATCAACCTTAAGATTCCATCACTTTTCAGAGATGGACTTCTTAAAAATGACATACGGATGACAGAAGAAGCAAAAAAGAAGGGAGGGTTAAAGATACACAAAGATAAACTACTCTTTGATCCATCCTACATTACAGAACATTTTTTCAAAGAAACGTGCACACGAATATCCCACGAGATAGAAAATATGCTGAAAACACCGAATGTAGGTAATATAAGTATAATCGTATTGGTTGGAGGGCTTTCAGGATCGAGCGTTGTAGTATCACAAATTCAGGAACTGTTGAAGAAATCATTTCCTGAAGTTAAAGTTGTTTCGCCAACATCACCGTTTCGAGCGATTTTGACAGGGGCAGTACTCTATGGTCATAACCCAAAACTTATTAAAAGTAGAAGGAGTCCAGCTACATTTGGTGTACAAACAAATAGCCCTTTTGACGCTGTCGTCCACAAAAGCGATAAAAAATGGATACATAGTGGATCTGGAAAAGCCTATTGCAAAGATATATTCTCCGTACATGTTAGGGAGGGAGAATTAATCGTTTTGAACGAAAAGCAGCCAGTAAAAAAATACTTCCCGATAGATGCAAACCAAACTGAAGTCAATTTAAAGGTGTTCATGCATTCAGCAAGGGATATCTCATTGGATGAGTCTAAAGTTTTATACACTACAGATGATGGGTGCACAGAATTAGGCGAGATGCTTGTCAAGATGCCAGATACTTCAAAAGGTACAAACAGAGAAGTTTCTGTATCTTTTGTTATAGGAGCTGAGATAGAAGTAAACGCAGTAGATGAAACAAGTAAAGAGAAATTGGAGGTGAAATTTGAGTTTCTAAAGACATTAAAACTATGTAAACAAAAGGAAGAAAATGAATTTGGCACGCAAAACATTATATAAAAAATATCTTTATTCAGTCAATACTGAAGAGGGCCCTTTAGAAAAACTGTGTAGAGATAAATATCACATGTGTTTATGTATTAAAACACGTAAAGTGAATTATAAACGTTATTATATTAACAAATATGTATTCGACATAATAACAAATATGTATTCGACATAGCAACAAATATGTAACCTGAAAGTATGTGATGTTAAACACTTAAATTTTATTGAAATATATGCAGTTATATTTGCTGCAGAATTTAACAAAATAACAACGTAATTGGAAATGATTTCATGTAAATGAGCAAGAATTATTGTCAACATCTTCTGTCTATATCTTTTTGATTGAGCTTTACCTCAAATATATAGAACGCCGAATGTTTTTGTTTTTTGAAAAGACATTGTACATTTGTGAGAAATGGAGAAATTCATTGTGTTCTCTATTAATTACCTTAACATTCGATACAACAGATGAATATAAACTTTTAATTGGATTTTTTTATATATTTCTAATAGCTCATATTTTTTCGTCATTCTACAATTCATGCACTATATATGTGCCATTAATGATAAAACTTGCAATATGTGTAATGATTTTGTTTTTAACCATACTTTTTTGATTTTATGTTTTTCATACTATTGCTCAAAAGTCATATGTGTAATTGAACTAATTCGAATCGAACAAAAGGCAAAGGTTAAGGCGGTCTTAATAAGCTGTCATAAACAAATCTTTACTAATACAATTTTTGTTTGTTTTAAATTTGTAAATGGTCATAACAATCAGGACTTAGTTAAATACCTATTTTATCTAAACAAGTCACATAACATTTTAAACATTTTTCGTACAAGCACATTATTATTATCAAATTCTCTGTAGACCTGCTTGTTTCAGTGGCTAAGTTCTGCTATGCTTAAATACTGAAACAGGGAACGTTTAGATTTGTAGAAAAAACAATTCATGTGCATTAATTCATACATATATGTAAAGATATTGTAATAAAGTTTTTCATGCAACGTCAGATGCAGTTTTTCAAAATTGACTTTTGTACATTAACTAAACTTCTCATGCTTTCGCAAATAAATGATATAAATCACCTTGCATTTTCATATTTTAATTAATTTTGCCACATACACATTCATCATCATTAATGATAGCAGTCAGGTTGACTAAAATGTCAGCTTGATGTAAAGGAGTAAGAGGGCAAACACGAATCTAGTTCAAAACTTGAATGAAATTAAATATACTTGTCACAAATAAAGATTTTTTTCCGTTTAATTAATAATAAATTGACATGGCGAATATTTAAAAAAGTATTAAGAAAACTGTAAAAGAACACACTTCTTTAATCATTGACATAAGTATTGTCATGTTTCTTCTGACAAAGAAAGAACAACATTTTAAAGAAAAAGAAGAGGTTGAACAGCATCAACAAGAAACAGCTGCAACAATCAGTTTTATTTTAGTTAGTCAACTAATCTCAACAGCTGTTAAGATTTGACAGTAAGCTTGACAAAAAAAACACAAATGAAATATTTGAAGAAAGTGAAGATGTTGAATGACAAGATAGTTGTGAAAATACATCGTCAAGAAATCATTATACATGTACAATTCTATTAAATAAATGAGTAAAACAATATCTGTGTATATATAGTAAAAACAAATAATGCCACGGGTTGCAATCCAGATTTACAAAAGCTCAAAAGTAGTATTGTGAAATGAAAAAAAAACTGATAATGAAAAAGTACATTTAGAAAAGTAGGTAGTTAAAAGGTCAAAGTTAGGTAACCAAACAGAGCAGATCATAGATAGTTCAATACTAAATCCAGACAATTTAACTCGTAAAGCAAAGGAAAACCCAGATAATATTATTTAATAAAAGATAGTTAAAAACTAAATCAAGTAAATCCAGGCAGATAAATAATAAATCTTAATACTATTTAAAGAGGTTCATAAACAACATTTTTACCTAACTTCTCAATTTGAATTAAGTGTTAAAATTATTCCGAACCTGAAACAAAAGCTCAGTCAAAGCAGTGGAAACGAGCTGGTTCCCCGTCTCCTAAAAAGTTTAAGCTGTCTCCTTCGGCTGGCAAAGTCAGGCTTGTTGCCTTTTGGGATTCACGAGGAATGATACTTTCTCATTTCATGCCAAAAGGTCAAACTGTCACCGCCAAGTACTATTCTGAAGTAATTCTGTAAAATCTCAAAGAAAAGCTGAAGCAAATGCGTCCCAGGTTAGCACAGAAAAATGTCCTCCTTCTTCACGAAAACGCCTCCCATACCGCCGCAGCTACAGTGGAGGTTATCAACTCTTACAGATGACAATTGTTGTCTCACCCTCCTTATAGCCCAGACCTCGCCCCTGTGACTTTTATTTGTTTCCAGACCTGAAAAATTGCTTGCTGGAAAGAAATATAAGACCAGGGCGGCTTTGATATCTGCTGTTACACAGTACCTAAAATATAGGTCTACGTCATGGTTCACATCGGGAATACAAAAGCTCCCACGAAGATGGCAGAAGTGCGTAGACGTAGGTGGAGAATATTTTGAAAAAGAGTAGAAAGATTTTTTTTAAAATGTTGAATGGTTTTCGCGAAACGAGTCAAAAGTCCGGATATTTTCTGACTTCTCCTCGTATATGACCTAGTTCTAAACTTCTGGGTCTACAGAATTGTCATTTATGTACATATTGCCAGTAAGATTTATGAAACTAGAGCTGTCTCAGGAGACAGCGAATCTCGACTAATTGAATACTGGAAATAGTAAGGAATACAAACTATGAAAGAAAAATCAATTATTATATTGATATATTTCTGTATCAGTATCCAGAAAGCAGTCAAATGTCCTATATTTTGCACAACATAATATGTATATGATCTTATCGATAAATGTTAAACAAAGATGCTTTAATGGAAAACACAGAAATTTTAAAATCAAAAGTGAATCCCTTCACAAAACAAAAAAGAGCAAAATTGAAAATGTTGCACGCTCGGTTTGATTGAGCCTGTTCATGGACTGTAATGGTAAGTGAAGTTAAAATTCAAAGTGGAAAAAGGATGCTAGAGTTATGAACCTTACAGCATGATGTGAAAAATGACAACAATTATTTATCTTAAGTCTAGAGTAGATACCAGTTATAATAACAAAGATGATAATTGAAAAAATCAATTTACAAGTGAGTTCTTATTCTAAACATAAAATGCAGATAATTTTGTGAATACAGGAGCTTGCATTTTATAACTCTTATCCATATTAAAAGAAGGTAAGTAAAATAATAACATTTTTTAACATAAATTCCAAGTTCAAAGGGGAATTATTCTGGAAATGTTCACGCTAGGGTTATGAACCTTGTCACACAACATGTGTGTAATGATAAGAAATATATATTTGAAGTTTGAAGAAGATACCTTAAGAAGTAAATAAGTTATAATATATTTCTAAATGACAAAAAGAGGGGTAATACTGAAAATATTGCTTCAATAGTTATGAACCTTATCACATAAGATGTGGTTAATAATAAGGAACATATATTTGAAGTTTGAAGTTGATACCTTTCTAAATAAAAGTTATAGAGAAAAATATTTTACTGCACCAAAACTTTAATCTGAAATCTGGACGTGGATGCCGGGACGAGTAGGACAGCTCTTCATATACGTCGTAAAGTCAAGCTAAAAACGTTCTTTTTTCAAAAAAAAAAATAAGGAGTATTTCACCGTTCACTGCTTTTAACTTTGATTATATACTAGTTTTGAATGTAAATGTACATTCACTTAAATACTGTGGCAAAACTTGCAGTATAATATATCTTTCAAATAAATATTATATTACTTTGAATCTACAATGGAAATTGGCTTTGATATCTTTTTTTCAAAGACAGACACAATATATAACACACAGAAATTATTTACTTATAATTTAAAGCACTAAATTAGCATTTTCAAATAAAAAACTTAGTAGGACAATGATATGAAAATAGCTACTATGTTTCAGTAACAAACCGGTTACTTATTTCAAATTTATAGATTAATCAAACTTTATTATATGTCCACTAGGGTCCAAAAGCGCCCCCCCCCACACAAAAAAATAAAATAAAAATTTGTTTATTACATAGATAAACTCGGACTGTTTAAAGAGAAATGTGGAAAAGACAAACTTAATGAATAATATACTCAGAAGCTAATAGAAAATCGTACTTTTGAGTAAATAGCGATGCAACATGTATTGTGCCCCTTTAAGCAATATTAAATTTTCATCACAAAAATGTTATGACATAATGATTCTGTAAACAAACACTGCGATTGAGTACATTTACATTGTGGGAAGGGCTGTTGCTAATGTTGTAATAACTTGTAGCCCAACCCATTTGCTCTATACTTATATTTACATTTGTTTTTCTTGTTATTCATATCTTACATGTATTATATAGTTGCAAAAATATTATTAAACTGATGGAGTACAGGGAATTTAAATACACTGAGATGAAGAACAAGGAAGTTTTTTATGCCACACATTATATAACATAAAATGTGGCGTTAAATTCTGGAGAAAAGGAAGAAAATTATTCATGTACTTGTTGTTAATTTATTTAAACTATTTGCATTTTTATTGATTTATTGCTCAATGCGTCTCATACATTTCGATGAACAAAAAGTCATTTATGTAAAGAGGCTAAGTGGAATCTAAAATTCGTATGTATCAAATTGACAATGATCATGTACAACAAAATGTTTGATTGAGTCTGTACATAAGGGATGATGAAAAAGTGTAACATCGCACACTCCCTCTAGCACCGGGTTGAGCGGTACTCAATTTTCAACTCCTAAAAACAATGTAAGCCATGTTTATATTCTTTATAAATTCTTACAAAGCATGAAATACCAATGCCATAACCAGAATATGTATTTAGTTAATTCTGTGTTACCATCATTATTTTCTGTCCAGATCAGAATACATTCTACCATCATTATTTATTCAAGTCCTATAAATTAGAGCTTTTTGTCCTTATCCGAACACTTGTAAATTCTACCATCATTATTTATTTAAGTCCAATAAATTGTTGTTTCATGCATAGATCAGAATACATATACTTGTAATACTTTTATTAACTTAAATCAAAATAAACTGTAGTTTTCTGCCTACATCAGATTAAATTTGCATATACACCCATACTTTTAATATTATTATTTATTCAAGTCCAATAAATTGTAGTTTCTGTCCTGATTAGAACACGTTTTACCATCATTATTTACTTGAGTCCAATAAATTGTAGTTTGCTTGTCACGTTCAGAATACAGTTACATTTTCATAATGTACTAGAGTTCAATAAATAGTTGTTTCCTGTGCACGACTGTTGAGGAGAGGGTATAGTCCAGTTTCTAATTTGTTGATTAATGTCCAATAACCGGCTATATAACAAACCAATATCAAACTCCACCTTTGTTAATACAATTACACCTGAAACATAACAAAAACACTATATTGAATACATTGATGTTTGCCCTTACACATCAATTAGTGAAACAATGTTTATGTAACTCAAGAATAATTGCAATTTGCTTCTTTAACTGAAATACCATGCTTGAAAACTGAAGAGATTTCTCTAAAAAATGACCAAGATCTTTTACAATTATAATATGACAGTACTGGTACCTTTTTCTGTTCAGCCATTTCAATAAAAAACACATTGAGCAGGGTAACAAGGTCATCATCATGTGATTGTCAAAACATGTCACTAGACCAGATTGTCCTGAAATATTTATACACAAGAGAGCATATAGTGAAGTTTGAATGTAACTTTTCGTTTAGTGATGAGCAACAATGTTTTACCAATGTTATTTGAAAGTATGCTGTAATGGGGTTCGTGGAATTTAGTCATACAATTAAACCGCATTGTTTCAGCTTCATGATTTTATGATATGAAAATAAAAAATATACAACGAACAAACTTGCGAAATATTAGCAAATACAATAAACACTGTTGACATGGCAACAA